CAATTTATTTACCAAGAGAAGAATCGCTTTTCCGATTTTCTCACTCGTCAGATCTATCTATACCGCTCGACGCTTCGAACCAGACCGAGTTCAGCTTTGAAAATCTTTTCCTCCAGATTTTATGATTATAAATCTCACTATACAGTGCGTGCTATGTTCGCATGCCGATCTTTCTTCTACGAACTTGCCTTATCGCTCTTTTCAAGTGGCGCCTTCGAAGTGCTCGGACCGTCGCGAGCACGCCTCTCGCGCTCTCGTCAAAACCCGCTGACATTTCTTGTATATATCTTAGCAATTTTACTATATTTTGATTTGATGTCTTGTGCCATTTCAAGAGAAAACTTCAGGGAAACATGCGTGTCTCGAAAAGTTGCGCTGAAATAACTCAATTCCCCGTAATCACTGATAAACTTTAATGTCCCGCGAGAGGAGACAGCGGAGTGCAAAGGGTTAATATATCGCGACATCAGACATAGATATTCTCGCCATAAGAACAAGTGTTTCCCCGAAGATTTTCTCGTCGATCCGTCGCGGTGTACTCGATGCAATTCTAATCAGCCACCGTAGACGCGTTTACCGGACTTGAATGGACGTTAATGAGAGACTCGCGCGTTTTCTATCGGCGAAACTTCTGTATAGAACGGAATTCCGATGCGCAGCAATTAAATGATGTTCTTCCTTCCGGAGGGTTCGAGTTCCACCCTGTACGCGGGCTGACAATATTTACTCGATGAAAACTTAATTGCGTCCGGGTTTTTGAATGTTTCTGTTCGGGCCAGCTCGCCTCCTGATTGCGAGGAATTAATTACCAGACCCATAGAGGCTTCGAAGCGTGCGTCGGAAGCGGTCTATTCCGATTAAAATCATGTCTCGATTCGTACACTTTCGAGGATACCGCACTGGACTCGCGCTGTGCTCGTCTTCAATATCCTCTTTCGAAGTTTCACGCGTGTTTCGAGGATCGACGAACATTTCTCGAAAATTTGAACTTCTCATGTCGAAGAATAAATGTAATATCGTTATCTTTTCTGTCTCGCGGCTTCTCTCTTAGCCTTGATTTAGAATCACCTACATAATTATAAAAAGACTGCGAATCTGTATGCAAAATAAATATTGTCTACGTCAGTTGCAAGAAATAGAAATTAAATAACAAGTTTGTGTTCATTCTTCAATCGTAAATATTCAAATATAATATATTGACATTTTTCAGTTCTTTTAATCTTCCTACTACTTTAATGTTTACACTGCGTGACTTATTTTCAAAGAAAAGTAGACTTAAACTGATTGGCTCCTGAATCGTCCATATAGAGCAGTTTCTTGCCCTTATTATTAAATTGCACCTTCCATTCGTTTCGTATCTACCTTCCTCTCATACTCAATCTTCTCTCCTTCCTCTTATTTTCAAACTCTCTTAGCCACCTCATTATCTTCTCATCCTTTCTCCTATCCACGATATCATCAATCCTAATCCGTCTTACTGTTTCCCTACATTCTCCTACTATATGTTCTAATGGCCCGTATTTATCGCCACAAGGCTCGCAAGTTCTTCTGTCTGCTCCCTCCGAGAACAAAATCTGCTCCATCCACATTAAAAAAAAACACGTGCATAGCGTCTTAACTTATTTTACTACTTTCTTAAAACGGTAAAAAGCAACTTTCCTCTTTTCACGACCCTTTTCCTCTCCTCGACCCTTTTTCAATTATTTTGACGGTTGTCGCGCCTCCATTTCGACTCGCTAACAAATCTGTCTCTTACCCGATTACATATTCGTAGATTTTATTCCCTGGCATAACTAGACCGCGGACTTTATGCACTTATGCGAGAAACGATTCGATCAAGAATACAAAAATCGCGAGAACTTTTAAGCAATTTGAAAATATTACCGCGCTGCCGTCGACTCGTTAAAATTACTAAGAAAAGATATCGACGACTATGTAATTCCTGCATCTTGTAATTAATACAAATGTAAAAGTAGCAATGTTTATATTGCATAAGGATTCACAGATCACTCGGAAACTCACAGCCCAACGAGCATTATTCGTGCATTCGTTCACTAATGTCGGTTTTAGTGAATCTTCGGATTGCGAGACATTTTATTTCTCCCATTAATTAAATATCAATGTCCCTTCCAATGTCACAAATTCGTGGAAAATATTTTTCTATTAAAACAATCGAAACTGTAGAGACACAGGAAATTATTAAATATATCTCTTCGTCCATGTAAATTACGACGAATACGACGAAAAGTAAAAATAAATGCAGTCTTGTAATTCTTATCAAGCTATACACATTTGCCATTTTTATAGGTTGTGGTAGGTTTAGGGTTAATAAAGCCGAGAAGAGCGACATGGAAACATAGAAGCAGGCTAGTTGCCTCAAGCAAGTTTATCGTCAGATAATTGACCTATCCGATGACACGAGTCAGTCGGAAGTAGAACGGCCTTTTACTTTCTTTTCATGTCGCGTTCGAAAGTGTCCTTCTCATGCCACCTCTCTCTCTCTCTCTCTCTCTCTCTCTCTCTCCTATCTATACAGATTAGTAAAAAACTGTTAGCATGGATCGTAAACGAACCGGCGTCGACTTAACACGTTCTCTGCCGCGTGGGGCGTATACGCCCCACGCTGAACTTTCCGTTCAAGCCATTTGGTATTATCATTGTAAAATGAAGAATTTTTTAAAAATTCATTATGCAGTCAATTATGGACATCTTAATACTATTGCTGATGCCCTCATTTAATCGTGGGGCGTATACGCCCCACGCGGCGTGATGGGCAGTTTTTCTTTACTGTAACTTGTTTTAACTGCATTTCTCTTATTCCGATCAGTCATTTATTCGCGTGTTGACACAATACTTACTGCTTCACTGAAGCTGGGATTGATTTATAGTTCTATAGTACTGTAAAAGTTGTAACATTCTGCGATAGTTGTGTGGATAAACCACACTTATGTTTGCCATGTTTTAACAAAGTTCATCGTAACATCCCTTTGTAATCGCATACAAACTTGAATTTAACTAAAATGTTATATTTTAAACTAATATAGGCATGATAAAAAAAATTATATGTGAGGATGCAACTCGCTTGGCATAATAATGATCAGCCAGGTATTTGTTAAAGTAATTCCTAGAAAAATAAATTTATTGGTTTGCTGTGTTATGCATGTTAAACTATACAACCTTTCCTTGATAATTATGATTTTTGCACTATTTTAATTATTGTAAAGCATACGCCAGAAACAAAATAATACAAATGTAAAGCGTGGGGCGCATACGCCCCACGCGGCTTGAACGGAAAGTCTTCAAAAAACGGTCTGGCAGGGAACGTGTTAAAGAGGTAATCAACTTTGAAACGCGCGCAAGATTCTCCATAATTCGTAAAAATATTTTACAAAAGTTGCTTAAAACATTTACGTAGATATGATATAGTTACGAACACGTTTGTTTGACGCGTATTCGTCGTTTGTGAATTGCAGGTTCCTAAACCCAGCAATGGCTAATAAGAATAGAATACAACCACCCTCGAAGATAGTCCACTTTTTCAACACACCTCCGGATTTAACCGAGGAGACAGTACACCGTGTGTTCGTCGAACGCGGCATCGAGGCACCAACGACGGTGAAACTGTTCCCCCTCAAGTCGGAACGATCGTCGTCTGGCCTTATAGAGTTCAGCAGCGTCGGAGTCGCGGTCGCCGCCATTATGGAATGCAATCACACAGCACTGGAAAACAGCAGTAAGTAATTGTACACAATAGTTTTTTAGTTTCAGAAGTCGGCTTGAAAACTAGAGCTTCAAAAACTTGGTTTGCAAATTTGATAAGTCGAGACAAATTTATCTTCAACCAATTAACTAAGCTAACTGGTTTCCCGATTTTTCTCTAATTCATCGTTAGTCAAACTCGTCGGTTTGACGGCACACAGGTCGACCATCCGACAATTCGGTAGTTACGTTTGTTCTCTTGAAATTATACTTCCTAAAACAAACGAAATGAAATATTATACAAATTTATTGCTTTCATTCTTTATAGTTCTTTGTTTTTGTTCTTTCTACTGTATGAAGTATATATTATTCTACTATATTTTTTAAATTAAATTGAACAATTTTTTTTTATTTCTATTTGTTTTTGCATAGTGGTCATGATGTATATTTTATTCTGCTACTAGTCTCTAACAGGGTTGGGTGAAAATATATTTAAAATACAAAAATAGTAGTTACATATGGGAGTAACTATTTATTTATTCTATTATATTATATATATATATATTATATTATATATATTTATAACTATTTATTTATTCTACTATATTTTTTAAATTAAATTGAACAATTCTTTTTTTATTTCAATCTGTTTTTGCATAGTGGTCATGATGTATATTTTATTCTGCTACTAGTCTCTAACAGGGTTGGCTGAAAATATATTTAAAATAAAAAAAATAGTAGTTACATATGGAAGTAACGTTTCACATATATATTAAATACATAATATTAATATGTAACTACTATTTCAAAATATTTATTTGTCAAATTCTATATTATATGAGAAGATCAAAACATTCACAGTCCCTTTACTACTTCAAAAATCTATTTTTCACCATCCCTGGTTATATTCCATGTACTATACTATCTATACTGATATACTACTCTATTTGCTATTTAAGAGAAATACAATTTTACATTTATACAAGCTTTACACTGTACAGTCAGATTGCAAGATAGGCTGTACATTAGTATTTCTCTTTTAACCTTTTTCGTCGAAGCCACGTCTCCATTTTCTAATTTCAATCTGTTTTTGTACGGATTACATATTATCTTATCCGAACTATTTCAAATTAATTCATGACCACATATAAATACATGTTAGATTACTCAAAGCTGATGACTATAATCATCTTGAGCATGCACTAATTGCTCTACAGGGTGTCCCAAAAATCACTCGTAATCCGGAAACGGCGGGTTCCTCGGATCATTTGAAGCAGCTTCTTCCTGTAGTAGTAGTAGTAGTAGTAGTAGAATAGTAATAATAATTGTAGTAGTAGTAGAATAGTAATAATGATTGTAGTAGTAGTAGAATAGTAATAATGATTGTAGTAGTAGTAGAATAGTAATAATGAGATTGTAGTAGTAGTAGAATAGTAATAATGATTGTAGTAGTAGTAGAATAGTAATAATGATTATAATAGTAGTAACAATTGTAATAGTAGTAGTAATAGTAGTAGTAATATTAGAAAACGTACTTGCTCGCTTCTACATCATCTGCGAGTCAGGATGATAGTGGAAGTAATGGTCCGAACAGACGATGTTCGCGAACAATCATCGCCGAAGTCCAACATCGATGAAAGTCCAAAGTATAGAGCGTCCGCGCGAAGATGGCACAGATTTCGACAGTAGGGTGCGGAGAGATCCGCACTTGGAAATAGCCCGCGTATAGCAGATAGATGGGCTGTCAGGTGGCCGCAAGTTTCTCCATGCTCTTTTCTCGCGGACGGACACATATTATCATTCCTTCTTCCAGCTAAAAGTGACACTGACACAATATATAGATATAGTTAGGACAATAGGGGAGAATTCTCTCCAATTATTCCACAGTTTTTTTAAACAAAAATAGACAATTTGGGAAGTGGAAATACTATTATTCGAGCCTCGCGGCTCGTTTATATAGTCATTGACAATCGATAATAATATAATAATATATAAGTATAGTTAGAACAATAGGGGAGAATTCTCTCCAATTATTCCACAGTTTTTTTAAACAAAAATAGACAATTTGGGAAGTGGAAATACTATTATTCGAGCCTCGCGGCTCGTTTATATAGTCATTGACAATCGATAATAATATAATAATATATAAGTATAGTTAGAACAATAGGGGAGAATTCTCTCCAATTATTCCACAGTTTTTTTAAACAAAAATAGACAATTTGGGAAGTGGAAATACTATTATTCGAGTCTCACGGCTCGTTTTTATAGTTATTGACAATCGATAATAATATAAAAATATATAAATATAGTTAGGACAATAGGGGAGAATTCTCTCCAATTATTCCACAGCTTATTAAACAAAAATAGACAATTTGGGAAGTGGAGATACTATTATTCGAGCCTCGCGGCTCGTTTCTATAGTTATTGACAATCGATAATAATATAAAAATATATAAATATAGTTAGGACAATAGGGGAGAATTCTCTCCAATTATTCCACAGCTTGTTAAACAAAAATAGACAATTTGGGAAGTGGAGATACTATTATTCGAGCCTCGCGGCTCGTTTTTATAGTTATTGACAATCGATAATAATATAAAAATATATAAATATAGCTAGGACAATAGGGGAGAATTCTCTCCAATTATTCCACAACTTATTAAACAAAAATAGACAATTTGGGAAGTGGAGATACTATTATTCGAGTCTCACGGCTCGTTCCTATAGTCGTTGACAATCGATAATAATATAAAAATATATAAATATAGCTAGAACAATAGGGGAGAATTCTCTCAAATTATTCCACAGCTTATTAAACAAAAATAGACAATTTGAGAAGTGGAGATACTATTATTCGAACCTGTTGACAATCGATAATAATATAAAAACATATAAATATAGTTAGGACAATAGTTAGGACTATAGTCATTGACAATCGCTAATAATATAAAAACATATAAATATAGTTAGAACAATCGTGAAGAATTTACAACATTTCCTTTATCGAAAAGGTGACATTCTCGTGTTTATAATGACTTCAGCAATTAACTCACTATACTTAAAAGTGAGATATCGACTTCTAACGAAGAAAACGATATCGTAGAACGTTCAAATCGTATTCTAAAATCATCGGCTCTCAAACAGCATTGCTACTCTTTTAAATACGATCGCATGAAATCCGGACCGTGTATCTGAAAACGCGACAACGGACGGCTATAACCGTCCACTTTCGGTAAACCAAACTAAACAGCGTGTTGCATACAAGTTTGCTGACACGGCGGTCTTCCGTTGCACTTGTTTCAGACGGCAAGTTCCCGTACATCATGAAGCTGTGTTTCTCGTCGTCGCGTACCATACCCACCAGTTTCCCGCCAAGCAGCGGCAGCACAGCGAGCAATTCCGCCGGTAATGGCCACGTCAAAATGCAGCAGGACTCGGAATAGAACGGCGAGGTCCAGGGCCAGCAGCGTCAGCGTCAGCGCCAGCGTCCCTCTCTCGCCCTGCACCCGTTGTGTGCCCCGACGGGCACGGCCCTGCACCCAGCCGCAGCGATCACACTATCCCCGGTTTTGCCGCCGCCCGTGCCGCCGCCTTTGCCGCCCGCCTGCGTCCTGATCGCCACCCCGACACTGTACCCGACCGTGCCGCCGCCACCACCGCCACCGCTGCCTACGTTCTGGCCCTATTGAAACGGGGAGGAGAAACGGGCCTATCCGGTGCACGACGGCGTTGCTACACGGCCGTCGTCGCCTACACTTTTATCATCCACTGCTCCCCGTTTCGCAAACCATCCGTCAAGCAATCGGACGCTGGTCGCTGGATGAGAAACGGTCGTAGAATCGGTCGGACCGAGATGGCTCGGACCGACCACACGGAGAGAGTCGGCTCCGTCGTTTTCTTTTACTTCTCAAGAGTCGAGGACCAACGAGAATCGTCTTGGCGCGGTGCTCTCGAATACTCGCCGTGAGAGATCGATCGGTGCATCGGCAAGGATCACGATTATATTCCTAATCGTCGACAGGGTGGTGTATATATACATACATATATGTATATATAAATATATATATATATATATATATATATATATATATATATATATATATATATATATATATACACACACACAGAGACGCATCACACGGGTTAGGCTGCTCGATGGTCATCGAGGATCGTCGTCCGCTGGCCGAGTGGAAGTCAGGCGAAAGAAACTAACCGAGAGGCAGCAATGTTTCTGATTACATTATTACACTGCTCCGTGTGCGTGTCTAACTTGTCTACCTTTTCTTTTTCTCTTGTTTTCATTTTTCTTTCCTCTATCTTCTGTTCTCTTGCCTTTGTTCTTGTTCTTCGTTGTTCCGGCGAGGTGTCCGGGTAATAACGGCGTGCGCTTCTTCGCTCCGCGCGCGGACATCCCTGGTCTCTAAGGGTAGATGATAGATTAGAACCGTCTCTAGATTCCGCGAGACGGTGTCTCCCGAATTCGTTTCTGCGTAAGTTTTAATAGTATAGTCAGTATTATGTTTCGAAGCGAGATCCTTTTTCGCCGAGATGCGTACCGTGGTACCGAGCGAACGGAGAAAGACAGTTCAGGAACGGAGCACTGAAAATGGCAAAGCGACAAAAAAGAATCGAGAGCTCGCGCGAGGAAAAGGAATGAGAGAGGGGGAGAGAGCCGAGTAATGATATCGGTGAACCGGAGAGAATAGGGAGAACAAGAAGAGGACGCACACTGGCCAACGTCGTCGTTCTTCGCGGAAGCTTCTCTCTCCTTCGGTGGAATCGCGAGGATCGATCGCGTGGAAGGATTGTCTTGTAAATAATAGCCGAGATAAACGGGCGTCTTAATGGGAATCTGCCGTCATCGGGGCACAGATTACATATCAAGGGCCGGGGGGGTAACAGCGGAACACCGCGGATTCGAGAGAAACCCCCGTAGAAAATCCGTTTCGGGCGGCCTTTTCGCTTCCTCTACGCCAGAGGCTGGCGAATGTCCGCGGTTAGAGCCGATGGTTTCTCGCGGATCGGCTTGTCCGGCTGACGGGCCCAAGCGTACGAGACGTTTTTCACAGTTCCACACGATATCGCGGGCATGTCCGTTCGTTTCATTCGATTATTCTGGATTCGTTTCCGTCGCGACACCCCGCGACACGCGCGCCCGCCGCCTGGTTCATACGCGTACAATATGACGCATGCACGTACACGCCATCCTCTTGCACACGAACACATTTGCCGCGTGTAAAAACATGAAACACCTTGCGACATAACACCACGGTCTCGGATGCTTGTTCAGAAGCAACGTTCCTCGTTGACCATTTCACATTTATGGGATCCAAATGAATCGTAGGTTCCTTCCTGACCATGCTGGATACAGTTTTAATAGAGGGAAAAAAAGAGAGAAAGGGAGAGAGAGAAAGAAAGAAAGAGTGTGAATGAAATAGAGTGAGACAGAACAAGTGAGAAAGAGCGAGAACAAAGAGAGTGTTCAGAGGATCTTGATCAATTGTGTGCTCCGAGAGACAAATTTTACTCGGCAACGACTAAAACCCCCGCCCCCATCATCGTCCCCCTTTAATAATCGCTAATCACTGCTGTTCCCACATCATGATCCAACGACTCGGCAAAGTCTTTTGCTCCCGAGAAAATTCGAGATTTTTCGGCCCTATACCGGCTGCATTATTTTATATATACTCGATGTATATATATACTGCGCATACACGTGTATACATGTACGCATGCTTTACAACACGGATCTATTTAGTTTTTAACCCGCCCCCACTCCCCCTATGATTTTAATTTGCAAACTATACCGGCTTTCAGACTCGAGAGAAAAAGAGAGAGAGAGAGAGGGAGGGAGATCGAGGGTGACGCTGACAAAATCTCGCGATCTCTCTGTCTCTCTCCTCCCGCTTCTTTATAAGCAAGGAAGCTGCTCCTCTCGAGACAAAGCGAGCAGACACAAAGGGTCTCGTTTGTTTTGTACCCTCTCGTTTATACAGCGATGAAAGAAACAGAGAGAGGGAGAGAAAGAAACATGCAAGATTATCGGAAAAACGAGAAACTAATAAGGCTTTTAAAAACCCTCTCTCCTAATCCCCCTCATCAGCGCTGTAGTGTTCAGGTTGCGACGACACGTGCTTGCATTAAAGGACGATCACATGCGACAAGGATTTCACTTAACCGGCAGAAACGTCGAATTAAAAGCAAACACGTAAATATGATCGGACAATATATATAGAATATATATATGGAATATATATATATAGAACATATATATGGAATATATATATATAGAATACATATATGGAATATATACATATAGAACATATATATGGAATATATATATAGAATATATATATGGAATATATATATANAAAATTCGAGATTTTTCGGCCCTATACCGGCTGCATTATTTTATATATACTCGATGTATATATATACTGCGCATACACGTGTATACATGTACGCATGCTTTACAACACGGATCTATTTAGTTTTTAACCCGCCCCCACTCCCCCTATGATTTTAATTTGCAAACTATACCGGCTTTCAGACTCGAGAGAAAAAGAGAGAGAGAGAGAGGGAGGGAGATCGAGGGTGACGCTGACAAAATCTCGCGATCTCTCTGTCTCTCTCCTCCCGCTTCTTTATAAGCAAGGAAGCTGCTCCTCTCGAGACAAAGCGAGCAGACACAAAGGGTCTCGTTTGTTTTGTACCCTCTCGTTTATACAGCGATGAAAGAAACAGAGAGAGGGAGAGAAAGAAACATGCAAGATTATCGGAAAAACGAGAAACTAATAAGGCTTTTAAAAACCCTCTCTCCTAATCCCCCTCATCAGCGCTGTAGTGTTCAGGTTGCGACGACACGTGCTTGCATTAAAGGACGATCACATGCGACAAGGATTTCACTTAACCGGCAGAAACGTCGAATTAAAAGCAAACACGTAAATATGATCGGACAATATATATAGAATATATATATGGAATATATATATATAGAACATATATATGGAATATATATATATAGAATACATATATGGAAACTATACATATAGAACATATATATGGAATATATATATAGAATATATATATGGAATATATATATAGAATATATATATGGAATATATATATATATAGAATATATATATGGAATATATATATATATATATAGAATATATATATGGAATATATATATATATATAGAATATATATATGGAATATATATATATACAGTTGAGCCTCAAGATACTCGTACACCATTGATCAGATCGTGGTCCATGAATTGAATTTTATATATGAAACAATGATGAAGTTCGACGACACAATCTGTACCGTACATGCTGTGCACACGTATATATACACACGCATTCACGCGCGCGCGCGCGTGCACATTCGCACGCGTGCACGTTACACACACACACACACACACAGAGCGAGAGAGAGAGAGAGACACGGGCACACAGAGGACACAGAGACCAGAGAGACACAGACACAGTCACGAGCATGCACTTGGACAGATTATATGCATACATGGAGACTCGCTTACACGTATACACGATATATTAGCGGGTCCCTCGGCAATATTTTGTCGGGCCGCGGGGACGTTTTTTATAATGAAAACGGTTTTAGATCTCTCCGATTTAAAAGCGCCAAAAGAAGAAAAAAAAAGATACAACAAATACATATAATAACGATAATGATTACCGAATAATAATGAAGTAACGTAAAAAACAAAAAATAATAATAATAACGATAAGCGAGAGAGCAAGTGTGTACGCGTTTTATGTTTTTTCGAAGCGAACCAAATGAAACTTAATTAAACATAGAGAGATTCGTGACTCGGCCATACGTAACGTAAGATAATAAGACAAAAAAGAGCTACGTCATCCAATCCCAATTTATCCTCTTCGAGAGAAAACCAAATATAAGAGAAAAATCCCTCTTCTAAGATGCGTGAGAGTTACGTATAATTCACCACCAATTTGTCCATTTGATGATTGGTAAAAAGAGAGAGAGAGAGAATGAGAGGAAGAAAGAGAGAGAGAATGACAGGAAAAAAGAAAGAAAGAGAGAGAGAGAATGAGAGAAAGAAAAGAGAGAGAGAGAGATAGGAAGACCCCCGAGCAAACATGTGTAAGATGTACCTCTTAAATAGGCGAACGAATGATACCATTGCAAGAAAGAAAGAGAGTAAAAACAATGTTTATATATTCGAGGCAATATTTGTTACAATACAACTAAATAGGCGATAAGTTGTATATCATATTAAGGAAAGGACTCGTTCAATAAAATCGAGAATCCTTTTTGTCGACCGCCGGGGCAAGAAAGAGTGAGAGTAAACGGGAGATCCAATAAAAAGCCGGAGAGAGTAAAATACGTAAAAATATGATTTTTGAGCCTACGTACTACGAGGGGGGGGGGGGGGGGGGGGAACAAAGAATGATCTACGTGTAACGGTGGCGATAATTCTGCACGTTGTATGTTGTTGCTGACGTGTTGTGTCTATTCGAATCGTGGTTTTTTATCGAGATCGTGAAACACAGGTGATAGTAGAATCGGCGCAAGATGAAACAATGGTACTAAGCTAAGGAATTAAGGAACAAAGTAAATTTTAAAGAAAGCATAAAAGCGTTTTAAAAGAGTTAACGCGACTTAAGGACGAAGAGATGGGTTATCCGAATGGGGAAGAAAGATAGATGTGCTCTCTGAATGCGATGTGCTCGATGATCGTTCATCGTTTTTTTATATCATTCGTTCCGTTCCCCGATCGAGACATTCGTTCGTGATTTCGATTCTGTCCGGCGCGGTCCTCTTAGGTTTCACTCGTCGCTCATTTGCTCGTTTCGTTGACTTTACCGAAGGACTGGACAAATTTTCTTTTACATCACATTCTCGTATTATTTTAATACCGATAAGATTATTTAAATATAAATAACCATTATTTTTACATCAATTATACATATATATACACACATATATATATATATATATATATATATATATGTGTATATATATATATATATGTGTATATATGTGTGTGTAATGTACTATTAACGACGTATCATTATTTTACCATCGTTTTCATTAGGTTATATCGATGGGTCATACTGTTGTGCGATCACATATATCTGTATAATAATGCATCACGTTTTATCTGATGAACCCTGGGGGAATATCATTTTATTCTCATTCTAGTGAGCAGGACCTAACGTGTAAGGCAAAGCAAAAAAAATCTGAAAAAAGATTAGTAGGGTTAAACGTTTAAGCAGTTAGGACCTTGTAATCATATCATAACGGTTTTTTGTAGATAATAATATTACATGTGATCCGCTGATTATGCCGTTTCAAATCCGAGGGGTGTGCCGCCTCAGAAACGAGAAACAAAGAAGAACGCTCGCTCGCGCGCGCGCGCGCGCGGCAGAGGGATTCTCGTTCGAGCGCGATGACGTTCGGCGTACAATTTTCTTCGTGTTTTTCGCGCGTTTTACAAATTTTCCTTTTCCTCTTTTCCATTCTCGCCGACCGAAGGAGACGACGCGCGTAGCTTCAGCAAAAACACGAATCTGCAATTATACGACCGTAGAGGCGCTCGTTTTCTAATTTTTCAACCGCGGCGAATTAGACATCGATTTTTCAACTTTCATATGTCTCTCTTAGAAAGTTACGCACGCGATAGTGAATTTTTTAAATACGAGCTTCGCGGATAAATAAACCACCTGGTCATTCCTCAGTGTATGTAAAATGTGTACAATAATCGTTCGGTGGCAAACAAAACAAGAATAAAACGAGCCGCGTTAGAGATCGTCGAGAAACGACGACGAACAGAAATGCTGAAAGGCACAAAAGAGATATATATATAAATGATCGGCACGAACGTCAGAGATGCAGAGAGGTTCAATCGAACGGAACCGATGCACCTTCATTTCCGAGGAATTACGTACATTCTGGACATCTTGGTTTCGTTAGATCAATTTTCTGAGCCGATGCTCTCTCTCCTGGTGGAGAAATCACCCCCCGCTTCGATGTGTGACGATGTATGCCAGCGATGTATACCAAGTGTGAATGTGCGAAGAGAGAGAGAGGAGAGCTAGAAATTATGAAAGGGGCGCATAACACATGCGTTCGACGAGTGGTCTCAAGCACGCATGCCAGACTATCGCTTATTTTCTGACGCTTTACCTGTACACCAGTTTCGACTGTGGTCGAGCAAACAAACAAGAGTTACACACATTGTATGTAGTTACACACATTACAACGAACCACACATCTTCGAGAAACACGTTCCCCCGGACTCTTGTATATCCCCGAGACCGGACAAATCTCGCGTCCCCCGAACATTTTTTCCGTTTCAACCCCTCGCCCCCCCCCTTCACACTTTCGTCGCGACAACAGCCTCATTTACACCCCTTTACATTTACATCTTTCCACTGTCGCTATCCCCGATACCGATATTACACGCGCGGATCATGGAATTTCGGATGCGACGTTCAACGACGAATTTTCGTTCGAAAGCGAAATTGTGTAGCTGATTCTATGTTAGCGAGCCGATCGCGGGGAGACCGAACTGGGAGCGAAGCGAATCAGCTGTTCGAGATTCGACGGAGCTGGAGCTTCCATTTCTCACACTTTCGTTGCGAATATCCACGCGTTATCGCTTTCGAAGCTCGCTCCGCGAAGATCGCGAGAACGACGAGCGAAATGTTGCGCGTTCTGTATCGATTTCGCGCCGACTTCCGCCTCGCTTGAGT